GTAAAAAAAAACGACGTAGTAAACTTGGAACTCGTATACTCTTGAGTAGAATCGAGTTAATACAGAATCGTTTGACGATAACACATACCTCACAAACATGTCTCATTAAATTTATTTCTTCTTTATCTTAGCGTAAGAAGTTTGCAGAGAGTCTACCTGTCTTTGTCAAAAATAATCCATAAAATTTATTTGTCAAATTTTTTTTAATTAAACATTCATATTGACTTCAAATTATATACTAATAAATTTAACCGTGTAAAAAAAAAAGAAATATGTTTGCAACATGAAAAGTCTACTTGAATTTTCGATTGAACTGATGATATATTCAAGTTCGTGATAAGAAATCTAGTTATAGAGAATAATACCCCTTTACAAGTTCTATTGGATAATACATAAATATTGTTTTATCCCATTTGTTCTTTTTTTTGTTTTTTGTCGTAAAATTATTTTCTAACTGACTTACACTTGAAATTATCAAAAAAAGAATGAGAGCTCTCAAATTTTCTGTTGCGCATTTGAAGACTCGAATTATTCTTTATACAAATCGTATTGAAAATATCCTTGTTCAAATATATGGCAACCAAATAAAATAATATTTATTGAAGATGAAAAAGAAAGCCCGGTAACTTGAATATAAGCGATTTTGATAAAATTTTGCTTTCTAAAAATATTCTATTAATTTTGAATAAATGAAGTTATATTTTATCTTACAGTACAATCAATTGAATTTTTGTTATCAATTCAATTGTTCATATATTTGACTTGACAATTTTTTCTTATTAGATGATTTCAAAGAAGTTCTTTCAATCATTCGAAATGTTTCACATTGAAAAGTATTTTATTTAGTACAATTGACATACTTTACAAACAAAGTTTATTGATGAAATCATAAAATATATTTACAAAATAAAATATTTCTCAACAATGTTTCAAAATTTAAATGTAAAAGAAACAAAATTAATGGAAAAATTTTGCTCTACCCACTGTTAAAACAAAAAAAAAACTACACTCAAGCAACATTATTAATTTGCCTTGTTTCTCTCTGTTTTTCTTTCGGCTTTTTTTCTTTTACTCTGTTGAATATATATATATGCTTATGTTAGTGCAATATTAAGTTGTATGCATGTGTTGATTCAACATACATAGTCAGATCAAATTCGTCATGACATCAAGTATCATTATTTAGTCTTGCAATGAAAATTTTTCTCATCTATAAATGAATCATTATTGTAAAATATATAAAATAGAGAGTGAGAGAGACAACTATTTAAATGAGCGACTTTTTTTTTTTTGTTCGTTATAGACTTCTACTATAGTAGAAAACGTTTACGAATGAAATGTAGGCGTTTGTTGCCTTTGTTGATTAACATCATCCACATGCGCGTGCAATTTGGTCGATGCAACTAGAGTGAGCGATCTTCTAGTTGTTTTTCTCCGCATCGATTTTTTTATTCATTCTTTATTGCATATATATATATACATATGCACATTAAGTAGACAACCGATGACGACTGCGAACGATTGTGCGATGCAACCGGTTTAATCGAATAGAGAGAAACGATGCCATGTGTGTGTGCGTGTGTGAGAAAGATGCTATCATCATTATAGTGCTCGTCGAGAGAATAAGGAAAACCTCTTTCATTTCCTCTTGTATTCTCTCTTTTTTTTCTATCTTTCGATTGTTTATGGGCTTTGGATGCACAAGCGCATGTATACAGTAAACAAAGTTCCATCTATGTTTCTAAGATGTATGTGTGCGTAGAAAAAAAAAGAATAGGAATTTTCTCTTTTCTCTATCGTGATAGAATGTCGTCGTTGAAGGCAAAATGGATTGTGCGTGTGAAAGAGAAAAAAAAATATCGATCCTAAAGAAAATAAGTCGTGCAATGAAACAACGACAACTGATGACAGATCGATTCAGAACAATGTATTTTTTTAACTTTCTCGACAACTTTATTTAACTATGAAAATCATGTAAGTAAACTTTCTTTTTTTTTTTTTCTCCGACAATCTATTTCAATATAATCCATTCGATTATCATTTTTATTTTTAAACTCTTAATATAACAAGAATATAATTCATCTCTTTTGTATTACATCAAGCTTTTTTATCAAAAGAATTAATTTAATTTTTGATAGAATTAATATCAATATATATAACTTAGTCAGCAATAAAATGCATTGTTATATTAAATATTATTAAAAAAGAAAAACTTTTCTGTTTTTTTTTTTTTTGGTTGATGTTGATATCAGAATGATAGAAAAATCGATAGCGACAAATGTTGTTGATGATTTGTACATATAATGCTGTTTATGATTATCCATCTTAACATATGGCATTCTTTCAGTTACCGAGTTTCTCTTATAGGAATGCCATTATCAAGCATGTAACGAAGATGATGACGAACCAACTAGCCGTAAGAAAAGATCAATATCCGCTCTCTTTCATATATATATATATACAAACACCCGTTCTGATGTAAATGTCACTGAGAATAAAGAAGCAAATCATTGTCACCATCATTAACTAGCATCAACTTCACTAGAAATCGTTGCTGTTCGTTGTCTTATTAATTGTATTGACTTAGCTCTGATGGTTGCTATCTGTCGTCGTCATAATAGTATTGATTACTATGTATGCACACGTCTTTTTTTTCAACAATATTCGCTAGGAGAATATATCAGAAAAAAAAATTGAGTCAGTAAAAAAAAAAGTAGAAGAAGAAGAAGAAGAAGGAAAGACGAGTGTTCAGGTTGCATCAATAAAATTGACAATAGAACTATAGAGACGATCAACAGCCTATATATGTTTCAAGTCTAATAATGATTTCTTCTTATGTCCTGCCTCTTTCCTATCACCATGCGCACCAACCATGCCAAATAAATCAGCACACATATATAAAGACTTTTTCTTTTTTTTTTTCTCTATTCTTTTTTTTTATATCGACTGATTACTTCTTTTTTTTTCTCTCTCGTTCCCTTTTGCTATCTTTCATCGACGAAAGCAAATAACCGAAAAAATGAGAGAGAGAAAAACTAAGAGACGACGAGTTTGCCAACACATCACATCACACTGCACACACACACACACACACACATACACAAATCTTATTCTTCGCTCTCTTTCTTTTTATAATGCTGGCATGGCGTGAACATAACACATAGTCGATAGAGGAGAGGGGAAGAGAGAGAGAGAGAGAAAAAGTGACATTGTGCTATAAATCCACATACACGCACAACAACACTCTTTTTCTCTGTAGACACATATATCTGCAAGGAGAGTCTAATGATTAAGATGAAAATAGAAAGATCACTCTTATATATTTCAATGATACACGTAATATTTTGTATTATTTTCTTCATTAAAGAACCTTTTAATAATCTATCTTCATTATAATTCGATAAACAGGTTTGTTTTATTTGGTTTTTTTTTTTCGTCTTCTCAATATTTATTCTTCTTTTGACAACTTAATATGGCACTAATCCAAAAATTCCTATGTTTAGCAGAAAAGTAAAATATGTTTGTAGTAATAACGTTATCGATTCGCAATTTTTTTTTTCTTCCTTCATATTAACGTAAATCGCGCTTTTGACAGTTGTCTCGCATATGAATCAGCTGGAGGGACCACAAAAAAAAAAACATCAGAAAACGAATAACAAGACGAAGGGAAAAAATTGGAGAAGAAAGAAAAAAGAAAAAGATCGAGAATATATAGACAAACTATCACCAATCAATATTTCCTAAGATCAATAAGCAATTGTGCGAGAAGATGGCCACATCCAAAAAGAAGGCCAAAACAACAACAAGACATTGAAGGTGATTCAGAAAAAGAGAGTATGTAGATATTTGCTCGAAGGCTTAGATGAAGAAAAAAAAAAAAGGAGCGATGATTTCACCACCTACTAGGGTTTTGTTGTTTTCTTTTTAGCCGAGAAAAAAGGTTAGAACTCCAAGTTTATATTGATTCTTAGTCAAGGATTTATTCTTGTTCTTTTTTATGTTATATTATTTCAGATGTTATTTTTATTTATTATAATGAAAACGATAAGCGTTGGTAATGCACGCCTGAAATTTTTCTCAAACCTTTGCTCTATCGTGAATAGGTGAGCAAAGTTTCAGGTGTATTGACCCAACACATTCTCTTCGTACATTAATACATAATCTACTTGTTCAAGTAAGTGTGTCACAATTGCTACCTGATTATGCACGAAGACAAATAATTCTACTAGTAATATCACTTGAATAAATATGCGTGTCAATTAATGTATTTCCATATTGGAAGAAAAACAAAAGAAATAAGACAAGAAGCAAGCTATTGATTGATTTCTTATATTACTGCTGACGGCACATATATCAATATATATTTATAGGTGAATGTCTATATATGTATATATATACATACTTGTTCTGAAAGAACTTTTCTTCATAGCAAGGACAAACTCAAATGTTAAAAAAAGAACGAGTATACATTGCAACAGCTTGTTTCTCATATCCAAAGATAATGACAAGAAATAGATTTTATCAGACAATACTTCACACATCGTTGTTTTTTTCTAATCATCTAATTTTTTTTATCATATTCTAGAAAATCAACTTTGATTCTGATATTTTTCATAATAAAAAAAAAAAAAAAGAAATTTTTTATTTAATTTGTCTATCGAAGGATCAATATCCACTGTAGAATCTCATATCTTCTTGATTAATGTATCAGTATCAGATGTTCTTGTTTTCTTTTTCCTGTTTTAGTTTAATACGATTAAAAGATAAACAGATCTATTTGTACATGATTCTACTTATTGTAATATGTCAGCGATTTAATTTCTTAAAAAAAAAAAAATTCTCTTTTTTGTCTTCTATTTAAAAGAAGCAACAATTAACAATAAGCTATATAATAACAACAAATAAATAATAATAATAATAAAAAGAAAACGATGACAGTTATTTGCCTAATCAATAGCTTTTTTTTTTTGTGATGTCTTTTTCATTGAAATATCATTTGATTATAGTTCATTTTTATCCTGTTCTTTTCCCTCTTCTTCTTCTTCTGCATTTTTTTCGTCTTGTTTCTCTTCAACAACGGATGATGGTGTTGGTCTTGGTTTAAAAAGTTCGTCAAGTTGATTTCCTTTACAATATTCTATATAAATAAAATAAAATATATTAATAAATACAAAAAGAAAAAAACGAGAACGAAGCCCGAAATATACTTACGATTTAATTCAACACAAAAAAGTTCTGCTAATTGTCGAGCTGTTTGTGCATTTTTATTTTGTGTTACAAGTATATCAATAATACTATCATGATGATCTTCGAGAATATCATCACACTATAACAATAAAAAAAAAAGCGTAAAATGAGATGTCATAACAAGGTCTATTCATTTATAGAATAACCTTCGAGTAAATAAATAAATAGATAGATATTATATTAAAGGTTTCTAAGTTATTCACTATGGATTTTTGCTTTCTCTTATAACAAAAATCAATAGAAAAAAAGAAAAATTTGATATTCAAAGTGTGTGTGTGTTTTTTTTATATTTTAAAATTTGTTCTACTAATTCATTAAATTATCTTTGACAATATATATATAAAATAAACGTAATAATCTTGTATTAGTTCATATCAGTTTGCGTGACATATTTATCTATATATCTATTTTTGTTGTCAAATAATCCATTGAAATTAAAGATAATCATTCTTTCATAAATCTTTTTATACAAGTAACTATTATTAATTTTTTTCAGAGTATAAAACAAAACAAAAAGAAGTCAATTTCTTCTTATTTTCTTTATTATTTATGACAGATGGAAATGATTTTTCATTATATCATCATCGTTTTTTTGTTCCCTCTCTATTTTGTTTAATCGAGATCTCAGTTCGCACGCGTTTACAATCATCATTTGGACACGACCAATATTGACACATTGTCTTCATTTACTCGGGTTTTCTTTTTTTTTTTTGACGTCAATCTCATTCTTTCTGTTTTATTTGAACAAAAAAAAAAAGCAAGAGAGCGAGAGAGAGAGAAGGAGCGACAGATATTTGTCTACTTTTAATTATATGACTACAAGCCGAGAAAGAAATGTCAACAAAGCAAGTCTCATATATATATTTTTTTTTGATGGTGCCTACCTAATAAATATGCTCAATCGATTCAATAGAAAATGAATAAAGTCACAATTCAGGAAACGGATGTTCAATAGCAAACATATAGAATAGTGAAGACTAGAAAATAAGCTCAACTGTACTTGTTTTTGGATATAGAATTCAATGTTTTTTTTTTTTGTTTTTTAGAAAAAGACAATGTTGGAATTTACAAATTGATTTGATTTTTTAATTTTGATAGAAATGTAATGAATGTTTATTAATATAAAGAAATTATGATATAGTGGTATATTTTATATTTAATTGAATCTGATGGAAGTGTACTAAGAAAAATATATCAAAATTTATATGATACTTGAAATGATCAGAGGCAATCACTTTTTTTTAAATTGTTTTGAGACAGAAATAAATGTAATTATCTGTTTATTTAATATACTTGATCGTCTTTATTATTGATATTGTGATATATATTTATTTATTAATTGTTTCAATTTTGATATTTTTATTTCAATAAAATATCCTCAATTCAGTTTTTTTTTTTACTTGAAATTGAGCTATTTTATTTCTTATCAAACAGTTTACGAATACGAAAAATTAAATTGATCAAACTCAAAATAAAAAGTTAGTTTTGATGAGAAGATTCTTCACTTCAAGTCTTAACACTAGAACGACTAATCCATATTATCTTGTTTCTGATCGAAATGATTGTCAAAAATAAAGACATTAAATTATTTAAAAAAATCTTCTTACCGCATGTTCATAAAGATTTTTCAATGGACTTGGTATTACTTCTTGAGCTAAGAAACCAAAAAAAAAATTAAATTTAAATGTTTTTCTTTTAACAAAATTTACCATCTCTAATAAATTTTGAACAAAGATTTTCAAGAACATTTTCAGCATGATATGCTGTTTCAATAACTGGTACCTTTAATAATAAAGAGAAAAAAAAATCAAAAATAGATAGATCTAAAATTAAATAATTAATATTACATCTTTTAATTTTTGATGTCCATGACCATCAACACGATATGATCCAACTTGAACACGTTCATTTGGATCAACATTATTCATTTCACGAAATATTGTTTCACTCATAGATTTACATGCTAAAAGAAGCAAAGCAAAAAAACAAACAAACAAACATAGTTTAAATAAATTAATTGAATTCTATTTTCATACCTGAACAATAAAAATCTTGTTTTTTTCTTTTATTATTATTATCATCAGTTGATGATGCTACTTGACTTTGAACTAATTGTATAAATATAAAGAAGAGAATACATAAAATATATACAGAAGAATTCATCATCTGAAAAAGAGGACACAAAAAATTATAACTAATATATTTTCATTCTATACATGATACAATACAAAAGTAAAATTTTATTAATTTTTATTCATGCTAACAATTCTATATTGAACACCATTAATAAGTACAATAGCTCCATCAAGACTATTTGGATCAAGTTGTGTATCAGATGTAGCAGCAGCAGCATTAGTTTTATCTTCATTTGTATTTATTGTTAATATAGGTGTAGAAGAATTTTGTTTTGATTTTTCAATTGGTTTTGGTTGTATAGAAGATGTTGATATTGAATTTGAATTTGAATTTATATTTGTTTGTGATGATAAAATTTCATCAACAGCAATTCCAGTATGTTGTTTAAATAATTCTTGTAATTGTTCATATTCTTGTTTGAGAGTTCTTATATGTTGAGTTAATTCTTCATTTTCTTGTTCTAATTTATTTATTGATTCCATTATTTCATCACGTTCACGACGAGATTTTTCACGAGATTTTTTAACACTATCATTATTTTTTGCACGTAATTGATTATAACGTGGATCTGTACGTGGAACAGAACGACGTTGCATATTCGTTTTGTTTTATCAAGTCACAATTAATGGACAATTTGAAATAGATAACAAAATGATAGATGAATGATGTCAGAAAAAAAAAAGAAAGAAACACTATATTTATTGGATTTTTTTTTATTATTTTGTATTCAAATAAAATTTACTTGTTTGAATATGGATATGTAAGTATTAATTTTTTGGATGACGACAGATCAAATTTGTATTGGTTTATTATGAAACACTTTTTATTGAGCCATTTGTACGAATAGAATTTGCTTATTTTTTTTGTGTCTTGTTATTGATAAATATGAGTTGATATTTAAAAATTATTTTAATTTCTTTTATTCAATTCATTTAATTAAATATGAATTAGATTAGTTTTCGCAAAAAGAATGTTCATCATTTAGTGACATCTCTCAAATATAATACGATTTTCATCAAATTTTTGTAGCGTGAAAGTCGAAAAATCATCATCATCTGTAGGTATATGCAATAATATACGTGGTTTAGAATCATTTTCACGTTCAAAAGTATCATCTCGTAGTACATCAACTATCGGTTTTGTGAATTCTCATCAAATGGAGAACCCATCTGTTAAACGGTTAGTTTTTTTTTCTTATGAAATACTTTCTCTGTATGTTATACATACATAGACCTACGGTAAGCTTAATCTTACCTTCCTCAAAAACAGAATCATCAAACGAACAAATGGTAACAAGTGATACGGTTTTGTTATTCGATAATACAAAGAAATCTTCATCAGTTCAATTTAATAGACAGGAAAAGAAAGATTTGGCTATAAAGAAGTATGGATACCTATTATTCAATAGCAAAAGATTATATATTAAAATACTGATTTTTTTTTTTGTTTTTTCTTTATAAATAGAAATCAAAATTTAGTATTAGACGAGTCTAATGATTCATGTATATGTTCGATACTACACATATTAATACGATTAATTTGTATGGCTTTATTCACTTGTATTATTGGTATGTTTATTTTTACTTTAATCTTCTATGCTTTTGATATTTATTGGCTTGAACAACCAATTATTAATAATTCATCATCGTGGTTCGATGAAAATAA